TAAGACAAAATTTTAACAAATTTCTTGTTTTACATTTAGTTTATTAGGCATGAGGACATTGGATTTCCATTTATATTGGTACATAAGGTTTTCTTTTCTTTTCTTTTTTTTTTTGTCCTTTTTCTGAGACTGGCTGCACCGCGCTCAGCCAGTGAGCGCTGAGTGCACCGGTCATCCCTATATAGGATCCGAACCCGTGGCGGGAGCGCTGCTGCACTCCCAGCGCCGCACTCTCTCGAGTGTGCCACGGGCTTGGCCCTAGATTTTTATTTTTAAGAAGTGAGTTAATTTAGAGGAAAATAGTCTCTAAATAATGCCACCTCTCAGGGGTGGCTGGGAAGCAAACAAACGATTGAGGTTTTGGGGGCTGAGCCCCCAGAAGGCCCCAGCACGTGGGACACATGAGCACATCACAGTAACGTGTCTGGTGTGCCTCACATACCTGGGCATCCTCCCCCCTTCCTCATCTGTTTTTAAGGCAGAAGGTGACAGGTGGCCATGGTGAGCAGTGAGCAATAGCCCTGGCCTGTGTGGCCCCCATGACCAGCTGCCCACTGACAGAGGATCTCAAATTGAACACATCCTGACGTGAGCCCCCCGTGTACCCCAGTGTCTTCTCTCAGTGAACGGCATCTCCATCCTTCCACTGGCTCAGGTTCAAGAACTCTGGACTTGCTTCTTATCTGGCAGATCGACCTTCAAAATCTGAACAGAACCTGGTCACCTCTGTCCACCTGCATCACCACGTCTCTGGCCCAAACCCCTTTATCTTTGGCCCTGGTTGTCAGAAGAATCTGAGTGGCCCCAATGCTTCTGCCTTTGGGTCCCTACAGTCTGTCTCAACAAGCCACACAAGGCAGAGCTTCTCTGCTGGCACCCCCATGGGCTCCAACTCGCCCAGCGTGAAAGCCAGGGTCCTCCCCATGCTAACAGGGGCCCTTGCCTCCCGCCTCCCGCCCCATGTCTTAATAACCCACCCGTCTTTATTTCTCTTATAACACTTACCACGTGTCATCTGACAGACCACGCTGTATTTCTTCACCGTCTCCCTCCTCCACTAGACCACACGCCCGTGGGAGCAGGGACTGTGCCTCAGCATGTGAGAGGCTTTCAGTCAATGTGCTGACCGGGCACTTGTGTGTCTGTACACGCAGCTGCTCCCAGCATTAGGTTAATGCTCGTCAAATACTCACAGTATTTTCACACCTATTACTTCATTTTATTCTCACAGCAACCCTGAGAGTGAAGTAGAATGTGTATTATAATCTCTATTCGACAAATGAAAAAAAATTAGGTACAGACTGACTTTATGACCCTCTGTGTGTTCATAGGTCAAAGCCAGGATGGGATCTAGCTCTCCTAACTCTTAGCACAATGATCTTTCACGAGGCTGGGGTTGGAAAACTGTGACCCACGGGCCACATCTGGCTCACGGCCTGTTTTTGTAAATAAAATTTTATTGGCACACAGCCATATGCATTCATTATGTAACATCAGTGGCTGTTTTCATGCTACCACAGCAGAGTTTAGCAGTTGTGACAGAGATTGTATGGCCCAAGAAGCCTAAAATATTTACTATCTTGGCCTTGCCCTTTATATGAAAGAGTGCTGACAATGCTGGGACAGAAGCCCTCCACATGTGACCCGCAGACTCTTAGAGGTTAGGGTAGGGTCACTTATTTGCATAATGATACTGTGGTGAAATCTGCCTTTGTCACTGTGTCAACATTTACACTGACAGTGCAGAAGCCATGGTGGGTGGATGTTTCCTGGGGAAGCCGAAACAAACTGCCACAAACTGGGAACTTAATCAACAGAAATTTACCCTCTCCCTGTCTGAAGGCACGAGTCTGAGGTCAAGTGCTGGCAGGGCCACGTGCCTTCCACAGGCACCAGGAAATTCTGCTCCTGCTCCTGTCAGCTTCTGGTGGCTCTGCTGTGCCTGGGCTTGTGGCCGCCTCACTCGTCTCTCGTCTCTCATCTCATGTGGCTGTTCCTCTGCACCATCTTCTGTGTCTTTTTTTTTTTTTTTTTTGGTGGCTGGCTGGTACAGGGACTGACCCCTGGATCTTGCTATTATCAGCACCACACTCTAACCAGCTGAACTAACCAGCCAGCCCCATCTTCCGTCTCTTATGCAGACACTTGTCACTGAACCTTGGGCCCACATGGATAATTTAGGATGATCTCATCTCAAGATTCTTAATTACATCTGCAAAGTATCTGTTTCCAAATGAGGTCACATTCACGGATTCCAGGGGTCAGGATGTGGACATATTTTTTGGAGGCCACCATTCAACTCACTATAATGGCCAAAGCTGTGCCACCAAACAGTACCAGTGATCATTACATGCCACCATGCACTCAAAGTAGAAAAAATTAGCCATCGCACTTAAGAATTTCCTTGATGAAGCCTTAAAAAATGATTACTTTTATTAAATCTTGACCCTTGAATCCCTCAAACACACATCTTTTTAATATTCTATATCCTGGAATCCCAGGATTTTATCAGAGAGACTGAGGACCTCAGCAGTGGAAACGAGATGGGGAATGTGACACAAACTTTTCAGGGTGCGCCTCCGAACTTCCACCAGGTAAAGATCCTATACGGCCAAAAAATAAAAAGCAAGGTGAGAGAGACAAGTGTGTGAGCCCTCAAAGACGTGTGCTTCTGACGGGAGGACAAAAGAGCACGAGCATGTGCTCAGCACCTGGGGTCAGCTAAATAACTGAGAATCACCACAGAACATGCGAAGCGATTAAAAACCAATTTAAGAGAATGTTATATCTTCATTGCAAAAGACAGCATAAACTACTGTGGGCAGGAAAATGCAGATTATAAGCAGCAGCAATTACAAATAAAAAGTCTTCGCAAAGGACAAAGCCTGAAAGATATACAGTAAAATGCTAATGGCCGTTGTCTCTTGGTGTGAGTTTGGGCAAATTAATACTTTCCTGTACCTTTAATTTTATTTGTTGATGAGCACGTGTTACTACTTTTGTAAATGAGGAAAAAAGTCCTTTTTATGTTCAAATAAAAGAAGATTTCACATCTCATTTCTTTTTTTTTTTTTTCCTTTTTGTCTTTTTTCGTGTCCAGCAACGGATCGTAACCCTCAGTGTCGCGCCCGTACCGGACCGGGACCAGCAACGGGATCGCAACCCTCGGTGTTGCGCCCGNAGGATCCGAACCCACAGCGGGAGCGCTGCTGCGCTCCCAGCGCCGCACTCTCCCGAGTGCGCCACGGGCTTGGCCCTAGATTATCTTTTAAGTCCATTTTTCCATGAACTTTATGGACTCCCAATTCCTGCCTCCATCCTTTGTACTAATGTTGGCATGTATTTTACTTTTATGTATGTGATAAACCTGCCATACAGTGCTACTGTTTTTGCTTTAGACAGACAATTATCTTTTACAGTGATTTTATGTTTGCCTTCATTTTATCCATTTCTGGAGATTCTCATTTTTATGTGTAAATCCTGTCTGATAACTTTGCCTGATGTCATATTCCTTCTGCCTGAAGAACTTTAACATTTCTTGCAGTATGAGTCCGCTGATAATGAATTCTGTCAGCTTTTGTATGTTTGAAAAAGTCTGATTTTGACTTCATTTTTTGAAAAACATCTTTGCTAGGTATAGAAATTTGGGCTGATTTTTTTTTTTTTTTTTGTCTTTTTGTCTTTTTTCGTGTCCAGCAACGGATCGCAACCCTCAG